ATATTAGGAACACACTAAATAAGCACCTCTTCTGATTTAATTATCTTATAACTTTTTAACTGATTTTCAGTTATATTACTATAATCTTTAATCTTAATAAATAATGTAAATCAAATTATACTAGAATGATTCCATGTCATTCAGATTATCAACTTTTCTAAATGATTATATAATCTTGAGAATTAGGACTATTTACATTTCTTTTGAATGATTTTCTACTAATAGTTGTTGAATAATTGTATATTAAAGTAAAAGAGTAAATAATATCAAAAATATCATTCGTTTTATTCATATATTCTATGTACTAATTATTATAGTAATTCAGTATTCTTATTATAGAGTTTCATAATAGTAGAAAAATTTCAGATCCATAAACCGTATTATAACACGAGTAGCTTTCATCAGTTTCAAATCCCAACTACTTCCTGGAAAACTTTACTTCCAACATCATCGCCCATTTCAGAATTGGCTTAGCACAGTGAGTGCAGGGATAAGCCAAACAGGAACCAGAGGTACATACACGCCCTTCAAGAAGTACCCCAATCCAGACGCGAAAGAATAGGCTCCATACCATCCAAGAATTGCCTTATCGTAGCCAGTATTTAGACCATACTTGGCCCATTTGAGCTGGAGGATTCTATTTCAAGTTTCAGCTATATGCCGATGTTCTATGATCAAACCCTTGTGTAGAATTTTGGGCAGCATTTTGAAGCAAATCTTGAATTGAATTGGGGTGGGGAAATATCAACATACCAATGAGAGCCCAAGAAGTGCCAACCTGCAGGAAATTGCTTTTTGCGGAGAAGGCTGTCAGAAGCTCTGAAGAGCCAAGTCCGCGATCAATTCTGGGGAACAGTTCGCTGAAACCTAGAGATGTGTGCTTGTAGGCTGCGAATGTACTGAGACCTACGCAAACATACAGAACATGTCTGGAGTTATCAGGTGACAGCATTTTGTGTTGTGTAATTTTGTTTGTTTTAAAACGACCTTGAGGGAGAATGTTGATGCAAGAGGATAGCGGCAAGGAAGCGGAGTTTAAGTCGCAAAGATGAAGGTAAGTCGAAAATATGTATTTCGGTTGCCGAGAAAGTGATTTTAGAGGGCAGGACTGCTGGCACTTAAAAGTGCCTAGGTACTTTGATGTTCACTAATCAAGGAGTTGATTATCTTAGCGTGGCCAGCCTCCATGATCGTTGCCGATTAGCAATCAATTTTCGGAATGAAAAAATGTCCGGCGGTTGTCACTAAAAACATCATATAAAGTGGTTCTCGGGCATAATCTGATCGAAAGTATCAGGGCGGTAAGGACAGGATTTATGATAAGCTTAGAGGCAGTGGCCCTGAGGAGACCACGCGATTTGAAGGACACCTGGCGGAAAGGTTTCATTACTTCTTTGATAAGTGATCTTCATGTTGGCGAATTAAAAATCCTACGGCTCGATATGTACAAAAGAGCTTTTCAAGAATTGATATGAGGCATCAACGTTCACTATTTGAAATGAGAGGAAGGTCATCCAGATCATGTGATCCGTGCATAAGATTTAGTAAGTAAATCAAATTTAAATGCCCAAAATATTTTTAGTTTCTCGTCTGAGCTTGTTTTCCAGACACGTTTTCAAGAACCAGGTAGCCAGGATACAAGCCACACTTGAACGATTAAGCGAAGTGTAACTAAGAAGCAGGATTCGAACGTAGAGGATCAATTGAAATAGCAATACGCTAATTACGATATAAGCCAAATAAGGAACTACAAAAAATCTAAATATTAATATAAAAACACATTACCAAGCTTAATAAAATTGTACAATTTATATTCAATATAATATATAATAAATAAAATATAATAATTACTTTCTTTTTTATATTATATTAATAATTGATTTTGAAGTTATAAGCTTTAAAAGCTCTAAAAACCCTTAAGATTAGGGTTAGGAAGTCTATAGTGAAGTATTATATTATAGAAAGAATAAAAAACATTGAAGTCGATTTTTCTTTCAAGGAATGATTGAATAATACTCAATTCGGTTTAGTTTTCTTAGCGTGTTGCCATTTCAATCGCTCCCGGACGTGGCCTAAGATTTCATCCGGAAAGTATGTTAAGCGGAGCTTAACGAAAACTCCTTACAAATGAAAGTCTACCCTAGGCTCATATCTGAGATTGCTTGGTAATGATTTCGCTGCAAAAATAAGTGGGAACGGGAAAACGCTACTTCGTACATTGTCCGTTGTGGTAGCCACTTTTTCGGGCATTTCAATGATTTCATATGTATTTAAGCAAGCAGCCGCTTTCAAATGATCATTTACATCACTCACATTCATAAACCACACGTGTTCGCTCGCTCTCGAATATTAAGCTGCCCCCCTTTACCTAAAACTTACCGCCATGTCTTCTGGTCTAATTTTTATCACTGGAGCAACTGGCTTTATTGGAGCTTCAACTGCTTTAGCTGCACTCAACGCCGGCTACCGTCTCCGCATCTCTGTTCGCAAGGAGTCGCAAATCGAAAGCCTCAAGAATGTCTTCTCCGATCATGCAAATAATTTAGAGTTTGTCGTCGTTCCAGACATCACGGTACCTGGTGCATTCTCTAAGGTTTTGGACAATGTCGAGTACATCTTGCACGTGGCTTCTCCGCTAGCTGTATCCGTGGACAAGGATAAGGTACATCGACCAGCAATAGAAGGAACTCTGAACATCTTGAGAGACGCAGCAAAGATCCCAAGTATCAAAAAAGTCGTCATCACATCCTCGATCGCTGCTTTTATGCCGCTCGAAGGCCCTACGGATGGGCTTGTATTGAAAGGTTAGATCGTCGACACTTCACATGGAAGTACACAGCTGACCTAATACGTACCTACAGAGGAGTCATCCCTGGACTTGTCAGTAGATCCAAATCGAGACTACGACGAGGGCAATGATCTCTTGACTTCTTCCAAGATATATCACGCTTCAAAACTTCTGGCCAATCAAGCAAGCTGGGAGTTTCTTCGGAAAGAAAGCCCCAGCTTCGTACTCATCACTATTCACCCCTCGGTAGTGTATGGGCATAATTTGATCCAAAAGTCGGCTGAGGAGATCCAGGGAAGTACCAATGGTCTCTTCTTTGACAGCATTATGAATGGTGCACAGTCGGATTTCCCCCTTCTGTCTGTGTATGTTGGAGATGTGGCAGAAGCGCATGTGAAAGCTCTGAGTCCGGCTCTCGAGTCTAGCTCAAGTTATTTAGTCTCTGGACAGCCAATGACTTGGAAAGATGTTGTTGATGTTCTACAAAAGGATTATCCTACAGTGCCTCACAAGCTCGAACCGAGCACAAATCCTAAGGTGGCAAAAATCGACACTTCGAAGGCAGAGAAAGAACTTGGTCTTCGATGGGCCAAGCCAGAGAAGTTCATCAAAGAAGTCATGGACCAGCAATTGGGATTTCTTAAGCATAATCCTTAGTGAGAAACATGGCTAAAGAGTCAAATACCAATTGCTGCTGAACTCACCTTGTGGCTTACTAATTTATACAATAGAATTGATTTTCCTGATATATTTAAACTTTGAGATTGCGAATGTGTGGAGTTAGCTGAGTCTGTGTATTTTGTAACAATGGCGAGTTGATATCTCTGGCCCCAGAGAATAGTGAAGATTTGACTATGGTGTCTTAAAGTAGTTAATATCGATAATATAGCGGTATGGTCTGCCATTCGTACATACTTGAGTATGAGCAACTTTTCCAGTCACCATGGATATATCCTTCATAGTTATCAATTTTGCTATCGACATAAGCTATGAGCAGCAGATCGATATCCAATGAGGATTTTAGAAAAGATGGTTTTATATCAAGTAAGTGATACTACACACTTCGTCATTGTTGATATTAAAAAGTAGTTAATGGAAACTCTTTTGCTTTCTACATCTCATTAAGTATATATCACGCAATATTTCTAACAAACGCTTATATTATAGTGATTCACCCTACGATTAGATAAGAATTGCTCGATCTGTTATATGATGCTCTATATAATATATTTACCAATATCATACTACTTCGAGAAACTATATGATCTAATACAGATACATATTAAAGATAAGAATACTAGGATTAAGCTTTAATTCTCAATCTATTACTATCTATTTTCTAATTACTATAGTCAGTTGATATAGTTATTTTCGTAAAGCTTATAGAAATTATATTATATCTAATTTTTATTATTATGAAAAAGAATTTTGGTATCTGTCTGGAATACTAATTTAGAAAGAGAAGATTAAATTTGATTCATAAAAAAGAGGCGTTATATATGAATTGATTTAGGGAAATTATGAATAGATTAGATTTTTTATAATTACATATTAGAGTAGTCGTAATACTTAGCTTTAAAATGTGAAATCCAGGCAATTTTCAGTATCTGAAGCTTTATATGCTAGAAACCCCATTATTATAACTATTGGAGCTTTAGTTCGTTATGTTTTAATTGTAGTCAATTTTATACGACAAGCTATTATTGGAGCAATAGTCGCTGTAGGCAACATCTGCTCATGCGTGTATTCGTCTTACACCATAAGAACATAAGCGAGGATTACGTGGGGTCTTACATCTACACAAGATAATTGGGCACCATTGGTCTGGTTCGTACTACAGTCTTACTCAGAAAATATATCATCATTTGAAGAACGTAGATCACACCAACAACGAGAACTGTTGGTGATGAAAGTTTTTTGGCGGTGCTGTTACTATAGGTCTGCTGAATATACTTATGGGATAATTTTGAGGGTTGGATTGGTCAGATACAGCCACCAACATCAACATATGTAGGTTACCTTCAAGTAGTCTTGATGGAATCCTTCTTCAGCATTCCAATTTCCTTACTTATTTGTGTCATCTTCAAGCTACAATTTCTCGTTTTGTTACAATCTTCAAATCATCAAGGCTTTGCTCAGATCCTGAAATAATAGTCTCTTTTAATTTTCGAAGCAGACTTTACTTTTTGCAATAATATATCAAGTTCTGAACATGAGCGAACACATTGAAACACCTGCTTTGTATGGAGGAAAGAAAGCCCATAGTTTACAGGCGCAGGTGTCAAGCGCGTCTCAATCTGATCCATCGATGAGCGATACGTCGCAAGCCGATGACATTCCACACGAAGTAATATCAAGTCAATCCCCTACAATTTACCTAAAGGGTGCAAGACTTCACATGATAACAGCTGCGTTCGAAACTCTGTTCATTTATTCTTTAAAAAGACAAGCAAAAAGTGCTGATTAGTCTCAGAATTTTTCTATCTCTTTTTATCACCAATCTCGAAATCCCGATCGTTACAACCTCTTTAGTTTCAATTACAGACGACTTGAACTCTTTCAATCAAGTCAATTGGATTGCATCCGCCTACATGCTGGGCGAAGTTAGTAAGACATACATTTCGAAAAGAAGCGCTAACAGTACATACTGATAACTTTGCATAGGCATGCTTATGATTTGGGGCAAGCTCAGTGACATATTCGGCAGAAAGCTATGCACAGTTACTTCTATCGGTTTATTTACTATATTTGCAGGAGCATGCGGAAGTTCTCAATCTATGACACAGCTGTGAGTTAGCAATATCTAATCCAGTAGATGATAAAGAAATCGTGGACTGATTGAAAGTAAAGCATAATTTTTCGAGCATTTCAAGGGATTGGTTCGGGAGGTAACTTTGCACTTGGTAACGTAATACTTTTTGAGCTGGTGCCCAAGAAGTTATACACGAGATATACAAGCTTTATATCGATCGTCTACTCGATTTCATTTTCACTTGGACCTGTATTAGGCGGGGCACTCAACCATTCCAAAACTTGGAGATGGGTATTTTTATTGAAGTAAGTCTGATTCTTCATAAAATTCCTTTCTCGAAGACTAAAAGATTTGTAGTGTGCCCGCTGGAGCTCTTTCCGCTCTTGTGATTGTTCTCTATCTCCCTGCTAAATTCCCAAATCACGAACGCGACGAAGCGTCTAAAGGTTTTGGATTCAGATCGATGTTCTCAACAAACGTTTTCAAACGAGTTGATCTCCTCGGTGCTGTAATACTACTGGTTGCTATCGCTCTCTTAGTCACAGCGCTCGAAGAAGCTGGACAGTTATACGATTGGAAGTCGGCATTTGTAATTGCTCTTCTAACAGTATCCTGTATTTCTTGGGTTGGTTTTGTTTTTTGGGAGCGACTGGTGAGCTTAGAATCACAAACAGCTGAGCCAGTGTTCCCCTGGAGGCTCATGACTAGCCGAATTTGGATTGGAATGATACTGTAAGCCTAATCATCATTATTGGATCGACAATTGAAACTGACATGCGACCCTTCTTTTCCTAGTAATGCAGTTTTCTTGGGTATTCCATACTTTGTTACTATCTTCCAGCTTCCTCAACGATTTCAAGTGGTTGACAACACCACGGCTCTCAATGCAGCGTTCCGGCTCATTCCATTCACGCTATTATGCCCTGTTGGGTCAATAGTATCCACTGTGGTAGCTGGGAAAGCTAAAGTTCCACCTATCTTTTTGATCATGATAGGTTCCGGTTTACAGATAGTCGGCTTTGCGCTACTTTCCACTCTAACCGTTTCAGAGGTAACACCAGTATCGCAATATGGGTTTCAAATAATCGCAGGTTTTGGTGTGGGCATTAATCTCTCGACTTTGCTCTTGATCACACCGTATTCTATATCTGAGCCTGCTGATAAAGGTATTATATATTTCTATCCCCCGTCAGAAATATTTGACTGACTTTGAGGTCGTGTCTCACAGCCGTTGCTGTTAGTTCCATAACACAGTTTCGAATACTGGGTGGTGTTCTTGGTATTGCAATTGCCACTGCAGCATATAAGAGCAACATTATATCAAATCTTGACAAGATATTGACCAAAGAGCAAAGATCACTCATTCTGGAATCAACCTCAATGATTAAGACGTTCAATCCAAAGGTCCAAATGCAAATTCGCGAAGTCTTCGCTGAAGGTTATAATCTACAATTTCGAATTTTGGTTGCATTTGCTGCCGCACAGATCCCATCATCACTACTGATGTGGCAGGAAAAGCAAATCGTAGTCTGAACTTTTCTGAGTCATTGAGTTTCTATTCCGAGATCAGATTGCAAGGGAAAAGCTGAGTCGATCATCAAGAACTTTACAGAGTACCGACAGGCGGCAATGGTCATGTACTGTATTTATAGCAATGACAAGTTTTGACAGATAAGAACCCAATCTCACTGACTGCATTTCAAGCCATTGAATCACTGATCTGCAAATTTGGTTTATAAATTGAGCTGAATTCGTATGAAAGCTTCTTCGCTGGTCTACTTTACAAAATGCGATCAGCAGAATCATTGGGAAGAACAACTCTTTAACTCCCACGAGTAGAACTAACATCTTGATTCAACCAGATCTAGATTGCAGTCATTGATCCATTTCAAGAATCATTAGGATAACTCGCCAATTGCACAATCAACTTATCACCCTAACGCTTCGGGGTTCAGCCCCTAGTAGCCCTAATCACGGGCTGCATTCATTAGTTTGGCTTCTCAATCACATTCAACTCTTTCATAGTACTATCAACATATTCAAACTCCCATCCTCGTCCTCTCCTATTCTATTCTAACCATTAAAATAGAGGCCTTATATCCTATAAATTTTCTAAATTTTCTATTCTATTTGTTCTTTGAAAAATCTTGTTATATCTTTATTCTTGAAAAGAAAGAATATAATAGAAATTATATAAAAAAGGATTTCTATTTTTAGTATGTTTTTTGAAATGAATTAAGATTGTTTTTTATAATTAAAACAACTTCAGATTTCAAGTGAAAATAATTAATTGAAATTTATTATCCTTATTCTTTATATCCTATTCTGATATCTATAAATTCTATTATATTCTTCAAAAGATTTCATTTAGCTTATCCTGTTTATTCTTCAAATTGAAACTATTATGTTTATTCTGTAAGTAAGGATGGAATAGGATGGTATAGGATGGGAGTTTGAAATCGCTGGGTACTGTGAATCTGAATCATTGTAGATCTGCGAATACTTCCATGAATACATGAAATGTTGCTCCGACCTAATGTTTTGGTTTTGCTTTTAACTTTGTGCCCGTCAACGAAGTCATGGATCTTCCGGCTCGCTCCAAACTTTCCACTTGGTCACATTTCAACGTGCCTGGCAGCAAATATAGAATCTAGGAATTCTGCACTTGATCATTCTAAGGTTCCCAGACCGTCATGAGGTCATCTTAGCACTTCCAGCATTTCCATCCTGAGCTGTAAGGTACACAGAGTTTTAGCCAACGTGTGCAACCTAAACACGAGTTGAGCCCCTCGGACAGATGTAATTGCGACGGAGTCAAAGAGTACTGCCAAGAATCGAGACAGTAGATAATCACGTTTAAGAGTGGCCATTGGAAAATGGATCTGCATTTTGACGAGAGTGAAAGCTTCATTGCACTGAGTACGAAGTATTTTGGGGGTTTCCTCAAGCAGGATTTTTACCACTGGGCACAAAACTCATCGCATAAGAGCCAATCAACACTGCAGAAAGGACGCGATGAAGAGAATTTTTCTCACAAGATTGCCCCTTCATTTTACTCGTCCTTTCCATTCCCGTTCCTCCTGTTCTAGCTCTCCACTTATCATTCATCATCAGACAACAAAATCAATCACCCTTCCACTATAACTACTAGCCCTAGAAATAATCAATCTTTAATTCTCTATCAAATGCGTCATTTACTCCACAGCTGCTTTTATAGCCACCTTCCAGAAATTTCCCAAAAATCAATTCGTCCCCAATTTATTTGTGGACCACTCAACTACTCCTCCTCTGATTCTTCCTCATCATCTTCTTCTTTCGTCTCCAGTGAACCCTCCTCCACAGCTTCAGCATCCGGGTCAGGTCCATCGCCATTAATCTTATCGTGTCCGTCCCCATTAACATCAATGAGGTTCTCATTACCTTCCTGCTCCAACCTTAAGTATTCTTCCCATTCAGGGAAAAGCTCTTCATCTTCACCGGGTACACCAACGGTCTTGGCGACTCTGCCCTTTTTGTCATTTTCTAAGTGAGCCTTCCATGCGTGCACAGTCCTGACGGTAATGCTTGGCTTATATGTTTGTGAGAATAGCACCGCTTCTGCTGCTCTGCCAGTTTTGATCAACAGCTCAATACATCCATCAACATCTCCCAATTGCCAAAGACAAGTAAATGCAACATTGTGTGCACCAGCATCGCTTGCCTGTGCACTCAATGCTTTGAGTCCCTCTCTATCACCCGTACTTGAGTGAAGCAACAATAACGAACCAAGATCCCTTGCATTCTTGAAACATTCAGCTGCAAGTGCAATGTCCCAACCAGCAAGTGCTGCATCACCTACTGTTTTCCATTTATGTTCAACATCTGCTTCACGGGCAAGTTCAAGAGCTATTGGAAGATGGCCTAATGCGAGAGCCAGCTCAAATTTATGTTCGCTGTCAGTTGCAACTTCCAATGCCAATTCTTTGTGTCCTTGGCCCTCAAGGAAACGAGCAATTTTGTTAAGTTGGTCTCCTGGTATCGTGGTGAGTACTTCTGCAGCTGTGTCCATATCATCTCTTAAGACTAAAGTTTGGTATTCGACGACTGCAAGAGAAAGGGCGAAAGAAGTGACGTTGACATCTTTGTCAGCGAGGTAAATGCGAGAGTCGCGCTGGATGTATCCGAGCAAATACATGGGTTGATCAAAATGAGAGATGGTATAGGTTTGATCACCAACGAGGTAATTGAGTCTGTTGGTGCTGTTTGTGTAGATGAAGCAATCACCTACCCATTCACCAGTTCGTACACTAATTCATGTTAGCATTCGATTTGCATTGACTTTGACTTGACATACGTTTCATTGATATCTGTCACCACTTCAAACGCAGCCTCAACTCCATCGTCGTCAACTTCTCCGGCATTCAAAGCCGCAATGTAATTCTCTCGCGAGAATCTGAGGACGTAGAAGGTATCTTCACATGCAATAGCGACCAATTCTCCATTTTCAGACCAGTATACCTATTAATAATCAGCTTTTGTTACATTTTCACATCAGATATACGTACTTCTGTTGGCTCAACCTCAATTCTCCTAACAAGTCCACCACTTTGCCAGTCATAGAAACCAATACCACCTTGGCCCTTAACACCGAGAAGGACTCCGCCTGTCAGACCTTCAGCTTGGAAGCCAACATCAAGACCACCGCTTTTCTCCACAAAGTTTTTGAAGATCTTTACACTGGTTCCCGATTCCCGAATCGCGTAATCATTACTGTTATCTTTCGAACCCCAAACAAAATCCAGAGCCGAGCCAAAAGCCTTGTTTCTCCATGCAAGAGCTGTATAAATGATGAATTCACCATCACCGCATACGGATACAAAGCGGCCGTTTGGAGAGTGAAGCAGAGTTTGTGGATATACTTCGCAGGTACCGAGATCTTTCGTGGGTAAGGAGATTGGTTCATTGTCCTTTACTGAAGCATCTACGAACAAATTAGTAATGACTCTACAATCACTTGGAAATACTGACCTCCACCCTTGATAATAGACGAGACAACTTCACTATGCCGAGCCCAGATCAATTTTCCAGAATTATCCATAGATACTGCAGGCTCTTCTCGGCCCATCTTTACAACCACCGCACCTTCATCAAAACCCACAGCAACTCCCTGTTTCCCCTTTTGGTAACTAACACACCAAGCTCTCTCCAATCCGTAATTCAGAGATTGCTCTAATCTGTATGTATTTGCATGCCATATTTTGACTGTGCCGTCCTCGGAACCAGAGATAATGACGGGTAGTTCGGGGTGGTAGCATGCGAACGAAACATTGCTTGTATGTCCTTCTAAAGTTGCGATCAAAGACTTTGTAGTGTAATCCCAAATCTTGACTGTCCTGTCGTCTGAAGTAGTGAGAAGATATGGTTTGTCGGATTGGGGGTAGTAATCCACATGGTTGACACCTTTCGTTTCGTGGGCTTCCAGCGTGAAGTTTGCTGTGGATGATCCCAAACTCCAGATCTTTACGGTCCTATCCAAACATGCCGATGCAAAAGTATTCGTATCCTTTGGATTGATGGCTAGTCCCATAACATAATGACTATGTCCTTCAAACACCTGCACGCATTTCCAACCCTTATCCCAATCCCATAACTTAATTGTCATATCATCAGAGGCGGTCAAAACGAAAGGTTGCGTAGGATGAACGACGATGGCGCGAATGTAATCGGGATGGGCTTCGAAAGTGGTGATCTTTTCCGAAGTATTATAATTGTAAACTCGTAATTGAAAATCATCGGAACCGCAAACAATCCAATTCTTTCGAGCAATGAATCTACCAGCTCGGACAGGGACATCTGTCAACTCAAATGTCTTGACAATAGCCTGAAGATTGTCAGCACGAGACGGTATTCAGATTTTGATGTTACTAACCTGAGTTTCGTAGGACCAAATGTAAACATGACCTGCCAACAATCAATGCTCTATCCTCAAATCAATTCATGCGCCAGCGAACATACCGCTGTAAAGGGTTGTTAAAATCCATGGCTCGACTGGATGGAAATCAATTCCCTTGACTCTTTCTGATCGAGCAAATAACTGCCTCTGAGTTTTGTAAATCGAATTAGTGACTGTTGCCATATTCCCAACTACAATCGTCTCCCTTAGTTTGAGATTGTTGATGCTATCCAGGTTCGCGGGCACAGCTAAAGCAATCATAGCTTTCGACAGCTGTACATATATCGCAGATTACTGGCAAAAGAGGGAATTCATCTTACCTTTACGTCCAACCTCATTTTGAATTATGTTTGAAAAGTAAGGGGGGGTAGAGAAAGCAATACTGTGGCTTTCAGCGCACGTATTGGATGGGTTCGCAAATGGTTCCTCTGCGAGGTTTTCTGGTATAAATTCAATCGCAGAAGTCAGGCGACTTACAAGCTTGCGTATGAACCTCTCGGAGTTGTATTAGAAGAAGAATTGGTTGAGGGATGAAATGACAGGAATTCAAAGTTGTCCCTCGATATATTTCAATGTTCCTTTGGAGTTCGAGATGTGGCAG